CTCTCACTGTTGTGGCCTCTCCCGTTGCGGAACACAGGCTCTGGACGCACAGGCTCAGCAGCCATGGCTCACGGGCCCAGCCACCCCGCGGCATGTGGGATCTTCCCGGACCAGGGCACGAACCCATGTCCCCTGCATCGGCAGGCGGAGTCTCAACCACTGTGCCACCAGGGAAGTCCTCAAATAGGTGTACCTTGTTGAACATCTCAAAGCTAGTAAGTGGTGAAGTGAGAATCCACACAATGTTTGTTTTAACTCTAGAGCCTCCCCCAGTATTCCTCACTTTTTTTGGCTACATGAGCCAATTGCTTAATTTCCAGAATTTATCCACAATTCCAATGAATATCTGAAAACAAACCTATCATTTTCAACATCGATTGGTGATTCAGAGCATGTATTATACAGCCAGACTAGACAACCTGTGTTCAACTCTTTGTACCTTAGGCAAGTTACTTAACTTCTGTGTCTGTGTTCATCATTCATAAAGTAAGAGTAATAATAGCACTACTTTTAAGTGTTATAATGACTAAATGAGTTAATATGTGTAAAGCACTTAGAACATAGTAAATACTTACTAAATATTAAGTAAATAAAAATTTTCTAGGGAATTCCCTGGTGGTCCAGTGGTTAGGACTCCATGCTTCCACAGCTGGTGGCCCAGATTCTATTCCTGATTGGTGAGCTAAGATCGCACAAGCTACGTAGCACAGACAAAAAAAAAAAATTGTTTTTTTAATTCACATCTAACCATTCTTTTCTTCTAGGCTCTTTCTTGTAATATTATGTGCTGAGCCAGATTTTGGCTATATTTTTTCTTTTTGTAGAATGGGTATACTAGGCAGTCATTGATTATTGGTCAGCCAGTATTTGATCTAGAAAAGGCAGTTTGACCACGGTACCTTAGCTATCTGCTAAGGCCATTAACCCCTCTAATGTAAACTAGACAGGCCAAAAGGTAAGAGCTTTGCCCTGGTGCTCACAAGCCATCACGGACTCAACAATTGTCATCTGTTTATGGTTAACTTAGTAAAAATTAAAATATTTTTTAAAATCTGACATATAAAATATTGAAGGATTAATTTTGTATGGTCAGTGATTGTCAAGGATGAATTGCAAGTAACTTTCAAATACAAAGAGCTTCTATTCTAACCAGTCTTTGTTGGTATATTCTCCCCCTACAGAAACCAGTGATGGTGTATCCTTGCAACTGGGGAACACAAAAGATTTTATTATCTCATTTGACCTCAAGTTCTTAACAAATGGAAGTGTGTCTGTGGTTCTGGAGACCACAGAAAAGAATCAGCTCTTCACTGTACATTATGTCTCAAATACCCAGCTAATTGCTTTTAAAGAAAGAGACATATACTATGGCATTGGGCCCAGAACTTCATGGAGCACAGTTACCAGGGACCTGGTCACTGACCTCCGGAAAGGAGTGGGTCTTTCCAACACAAAAGCTGTCAAGCCAACCAAAATAATGCCCAAGAAAGTAGTTAGGTTGATTGCAAAAGGGAAAGGCTTCCTTGACAACATTACTATCTCTACCACAGCCCACATGGCCGCATTCTTTGCTGCCAGTGATTGGTTGGTGAGGAACCAGGATGAGAAAGGTGGCTGGCCAATTATGGTGACCCGTAAGTTAGGGGAAGGGTTCAAGTCTTTAGAGCCAGGGTGGTACTCTGCCATGGCCCAAGGGCAAGCCATTTCTACATTAGTCAGGGCCTATCTCTTAACAAAAGACCGTATATTCCTCAATTCAGCTTTAAGGGCAACAGCCCCTTACAAATTTCTATCAGAGCAGCATGGAGTTAAAGCTGTGTTTATGAATAAACATGACTGGTATGAAGAATATCCAACCACACCTAGCTCTTTTGTTTTAAATGGCTTTATGTATTCTTTAATTGGGCTGTATGACTTAAAAGAAACTGCAGGGGAAAAACTCGGGAAAGAAGCGAGGTCCTTGTATGAGCGTGGCATGGAATCCCTTAAAGCCATGCTCCCCTTGTACGACACTGGCTCAGGAACCATCTATGACCTCCGGCACTTCATGCTTGGCATTGCCCCCAACCTGGCCCGCTGGGACTATCACACCACCCACATCAATCAACTGCAGCTACTCAGCACCATTGATGAGTCCCCAGTCTTCAAAGAATTTGTCAAGAGGTGGAAAAGCTACCTTAAAGGCAGCAGGGCAAAGCACAACTAGAGCTCAGAACCAAAATCATATTTCAGCCTCTGCTGTACACAAAAACTACGGGCTCTCTGTCAGCAGAGCATAGGCACATTTTAAAAGGTTGTATACTAGGTTTTTGTGGATTACATCAAAGTGATAAATGATCCTTAAAACCAGTCTTCTGAGATAATTGCATTCCATGAGTTGGGTGTTTAGAAATGTAGGTGGCATTTAGAGCAGAAAAGTGTTTAGTCAGTGGGTGAATGAAAATGTTTAACTTGGCCTTGCTTATCACCCTATACAGATAGTTCCACAGATAGTCCAGTCCTCTCGGTTTGGGAAAGACAATGGTAAGTAGCTCTTACTGGCCAACTGTCCAGCACTTGCCTGCAAGCTTAGTATGGGGCTCTTTTAAAATGTGATTATTTATGTTTATGTTGAAAGCAGACTTTAAAAAAATAATGTGCTGTAATACAGTAAATATGTACTTGTAGCCTGAATAGTGGACTGTGTGCAACTTTAAAAATGATGTTTCTTTTCTATATATTAATTTCTTGGGAGTGAATGAGTATTTGTTGCATTTGTTCAATTTGTTATATATGGAGAATATTTTGAATTTATGGTTTTCTTGAAACGTGTAAATTAAAAACACAACCAGCGTTCAGGCTTCACAGTTATATAATGTAAGCACAACTAAAATGAAACTTGTTGACTGCACAAGAAATTACAGAAATGTTATCTGTTTTATGAAACTTGATCTACAATCAGTAAAGGTTTGATAATCATTCTATCCCTCCTCTACCCCCATTGTGGTGGTTTCTTTTTGTCACTATCTAGAATTTTGTATTTCATTTCAGACTATGCTAGAGAGTTTTTTCTATTTTGGGGGGGCATTTGGGCATTTTTATTATAAACCTAAATTTGGGGAGGAGGTAGTAATTTTGATAAGTCCACTACCACTGTCTTTTTAAGATTTTTTTTTCCCCTTTAAAGAAAATTACTAGGTCAGATATTATAAGGTTTATAGCAGGTTTTTTTTTTTCTACTTAGATCATTCTTGGTCGACAACTTTGCAGGCTATTGCCTTTTGTGCATCAGTGTTTTTCCTTTGCAATTTTAACTTTAAATTATTTCAGCTATTGGGTAAAAGTGATGCTACTGCATTAGCTGTACATGTGTAATCAGACCTTTATTTTGGTTTTTACCTCACATAAATAGGTATCATAGCCCTCATACCCTGGGTAGTGTCTGCTATAAGATTTCAGGCAGTAGGTCAGAACTGAGGGAGGCTGATTTTGCTGTCTTTGTTTTAGTGTATGACAATACACTAAATCAATACAATAACTTATACAGAATGGAAATATGAGACCCCATATTTTCAGGGGACTGAGTCTGACACACACCGTGCAGTGTGTGTGTGACCTGTATGAAATGCACATCAAGAGCCAGGTGGGCACCTGCCTGCACACTACACCTTGATTGAACTCGGCCTGCCAACACCACTTGGAAACCAGACAATACATACATACATGTTTCAGTGGCAAGGGGGGCAGGAACGAAGATCTACAACTGAAGACAATATTAAACTGGCCATGGAAAAGTAAGTTTAAACTCCCAATTTATGTGACCACAAGTCGATTTTGTTGCCCACAACAAAACAGTTGTGGCTTATTAGGTTTCCCCCTAGATGTTGACCTTTGTAGTTCTTATACATTAGATGTCTCAACAAGGATATCTGGACTCCTTCATTTTTTTATTTCAGGGCTCAAAAATACACCTTCTCCAATCTGGAAATCGTTTTTACTCCGTTGTATGTTTTATTATTTAGAGCAGTCCAGACTTCTGCCTTGTGTTTGCATACTGGTACTTTAGATTGAGGGAATCAATGAAAACAGTATGGTACTGCTTCTGTGACAAATACCAGTGCCTTAACAATGTGGCTGTCTTTTTCCACTGAAAAAAGAAAGACATTTTGATCTAGAAATGGCATTGCTATTTCACTGCTGTTGGTTTCACACTGCCTTCCACGTTGCAACAGCAACTCAATTTTTCCTGTGATCCCAGAATTTTCGAAGAGGGTGAGTTGACCCTGTAGCAGCACTGTCAGTACAAACCAGTGCATCTCAAACTAATGCCTCAGAATCACCTGGGAGCTTACTGAAATACAGATTACAGATATGCAGTAAATCTGCCTGTGAAGCATGATAATCTGCATTTTTAAAAAGTGTTCAGGTAATTCTGATGCAAGTGAACCGGGGGATATATGTGGAGAAACACTGCCCAAGACCATCCATCACATTTTTCTTCCTAAGCACCTGTGGAGTTTTCTAGGATTTTAAATCATGCAAAATGTTTATTTAGTCTGAGCTTTGCGAGAATGGGGAAGGTATTTTAAAGTTTTGTTTTATTTCTTTAAATTTTTCTTTGCGCCAAGAATATGGGTATTAGTTGTTTACACTTACCTTGAGTTAGCTTTGATATTAAATTAAACCTATTGCCACTTCACTTATAAAACCAGCCAAAAGTTTCCAGATGAAGGTCAGGTTTGACCCTTTCAGAGTTATTGTACATAAAGGCTTCATCCAAAAACCATCCAGTGTATGTGAGGAAATACAAAAATGACACACAAGCACAACTCTACAGATGTGGCAGACCTTTTTCTTTGTCGGTGTGCAAACTTTCACTGAAAGCTGCTATTTTCATCCTCCTTTTAATTGTTTTTCTTGTTTCTCCTCCATTGTACATGTGGGTTATAGACCATGTGTTAAATATGCAATAAAGTGTTTACTGGATGCCCTTCTGAAGGGTAGTCCTTTGTAAAGCTGTACAGACTTTGCAGTTTAAGCACAATGTGCACATGTTAGTTTTATATACAGCAAAACTTGATTTTTTGCAGATGAAAAGGTATTTTGTTTCTATACAAAGTAAATGGATTGTTTGTGCTTAATGTAAAGCAGCTTTATATAATTGTAAAATAAAGTTTTTATCTTAAAAGGAACATACCTGGATGTTTCTCTTTCTTCTCTGACTATTCTAAGATTACTTGAGCCCAGCAAACATATTTCTGACCATTTTCTGTTCAGCTGGTGACAACTAGTCAGGCAGCAAATGTTCATGAAAGGTGTGTCAGGCCCTTTAAGACAAAGTGGGGAATATCATATAGGCCTTCATCCTAAGGAGGTTTAGTCTATAGGGGGAACACAATGTCCACAAAACAGTTTCAGAAAAATAAAATGCCGAATTGTGTGGTCAGTCAGGGTAGGTGTTACAGAGGAGATATAGCCTAAGCAGGGGCTTCAGGCCTGGGTACCAGGTGGAAGAAGAGGAAGGGGTAACGTGAGCAAAAGCAAGGTGCTGTGACAGTTGTGAGGATGCCCTTTCCCATGCTAATTCAGGCTGGTAACCACTTTTGTCTGATTCCGATTTATTTGAAAGTTTGTTCTTGCTGTTTTTCCCATACGTAACCTCTTCTCCAGAACAAAAAGCATTATTTAATCTCCCCCGCCTCTTCCTCTCAGAAAGTGATGATTTAGGCTCTCTAATATGTATGAAACCAGAGACTAGTCTGGCTTCCTGTTATGTTTCATTGCACATCGTTTTTAAGATTATAAACATTCTGCACCATTTCTATAACGGAATTCCAGCTAATCACCAATCAACTTTTTCTACCTGATGGGTGCACATACTTTGACAGGCTGCTAATCAACATTGTCATCATCTCTTTTTTCTCTCATCCTCAGTTGGGAAACAGCCATAAGATTGCAAGCAGTCCTTGGTCTGAATGAGGCCTTGCACTCTCTTGCCTTAATTTTGCTATCTGTAGCCAAACTGTTAATACGTCAGCCATTCTGCTTTAGCACATATTTGCCTCCCCATTGCCCTTGAGAGGAGACAGGCTCTCCATTGCTGTACAGGACTTATTCCATAGTCTGGTGAGCTCTCCTTTCCTGAGAACGCCTCCTTTGTCTCCACAGGGCTTTTTTATTTTTATTTTTTAATTTATTTTATTTTTATTTATTTTTGGCTGTGTTGGGTCTTTGTTGCTGCGCGCGGGCTTTCTCTAGTTGCGGCGAGCGGGGGCTACTCTTCGTTGTAGTGCATGGGCTTCTCGTTACAGTGGCTTCTCTTGTTGTGGAACACGGGCTCTAGGCGTGCAGGCTTCAGTAGTTGTGGCGCACGGGCTTAGTTGCTCCGCGGCATGTGGGATCTTCCCGGACCAGGGCTTGAACCCATGTGCCCTGCATTGGCAGGTGGATTCTTAACCGCTGTGCCACCAGGGAAGCCCTCCACAGGGCTGGGATGGCCACGGTGTGCCATGTGACTCTGCCTCCCTCTAACAGTCATTTCTAACATGACTCTTAGACCAGGGGTGAGTCCCTACTCAAGCTGGGCCAATCAGTCTCTTCCCCAGGAATTGGAAATTGGGATGGATTTAAAAAACAAAACAAAACAAAACTGAAGCAGATACACAATGAAAAGCAGAGATGAACACAGAATTATTTATTTATTTTTTGCGGTACGCGGGCCTCTCACTGCTGTGGCCTCTCCCGTTGCGGAGCACAGGCTCCAGACACGCAGGCTCAGCGGCCATGCCTCACGGGCCCATGTGGGATCTCCCGGACCGGGGCACGAACCCGCGTCCCCTGCATCGGCAGGCGGACTCTCAACCACTGCGCCACCAGGGAAGCCCGAACACAGAATCTTGACAATGCTCCAGGCCCTGGGTCCAATGCATTTCTTTTTTCTTTTTTTAATAAATTTATTTATTATTTTTGGCTGCATTGGGTCTTTGTTGCGGTGCGTGGGCTTCTCATTGTGCTGGCTCTGTTGTTGCGGAGCATGGGCTCTAGGTGCACAGGCTTCAGTAGTTGTGGCACGTGGGCTCAGTAGTGGCTTGTGGGCTCTAGAGCGCAGGCTCGGTAGTTGTGCCGCACGGGCTTAGTTGCTCCGCAGCATGTGAGATCTTCCAGGACCAAGGCTCGAGCCCGTGTCCCCTGCATTGGCAGGTGGATTCTTAACCACTGCGCCACCAGGGAAGTCCCTCCAATGCATTTCTGAGGCCATCGGCGTTCCACTCTGGTTCCATGAGATTCCACTGTATCCTTAGGATAAATGAGCCCTACTTAATAACATAGTGTCTCTATTATAAAGAAAAGTATAATGTGAGTTCTACATTTTCTTTCAGTCTGGACCACTGTATTTGCTAGGGTTGCCATTAAAAAAAAAAAAAAAGCCACAGACTGTGTGGCTTAAATAGTGGAAATTTATTTTCTCGCAATTCTGGAGGGTAGAAGTCCAAAATCAAGGTGTCACCAGGGTTGGTGTCTTCTGTGGCCTCTTTCCTTGGCATGCAGATGCTGCCTTGTTGCTGTGTTCTCACACATGGTCATCCCTCTGTGTGTTGTCTGTGTCCTAACCAGTCATATTGAATCAGGGCCCATTAATTCAGAAACCTCACTTTACCTTAATTACCTCCTTAAAGGTCTTCTCTCCAAATACAGTCACAATCTGAGGTCCTAGTGGTTAGGACTTCAACATGGATTTTGGGTGGGACACAGTTCAGCCCATTAGCAACCATTCTACACTCATTAAGTACACAGAAACCAAACTAGCCAGGGTTGCCATTTAATTTATTGACAACCAGCTAAGGCCAAAACTCAAGAGATCTTGCGGGAGTGTTAGGTGGACTGAAATCTAGACTGGGGACTCGGGAGGCAAGGCTCTCTGGCTCTGCTGTTATCACATCAGAAACTTACTCCACCCCCGTGGGCTTCAGTTGCCTCCTAACACAAGTCCAATAAGAGAGAACTAGTTGATCTTAAAGTTTTTTTAGGGAAATAGTTGATCACAAAGAAACCACTAAGCTTAAGCAGTGGTGCTAAAAAAGTATATAGACACCATCATCAGCTGCAAGGTTTTTATTCTTCCTGCCATGTGCCATTTCCATTAGCCCATTCTGAATATAAAACTCTGAAGTATTGAAAAAATATATTTAGATACAGAGTATATCAGAATTGTAGGTTGTGAGATTTCGTTTCATGACAATTTAAAAAATATCAAGTCTGCATTATTGTAGCATTATTGTTACAAATAGTTAACAATATAGGGATAAAATGCTGATTTTCATTATACCAACTCATTAAGGATGTCAAATTGAAAATGGATGTGAATTTAAATGTGTTGGTGATGAGTTTCAATGTTTGCAGCTCACTTTCTGGTGAAAAGATACAGTTACCATCTGGTAAGTATGATTGGTAACTTGTGTGTGGATGCTGCATTTCCTGAATGTTAAGTAGCAGCAACACTGTGTAATTTTGCTAATCCTTTTCCAGAAGTAGGATTTTGTGAAATGACAGGACTGCAAAGCAAACCATCGAGCAGTAGCCAAGAGAACAGCGAAAGAGGAAGAAAAAAGTCCTGGAAAGGATCAGAAATAGAGCAGCCCACGAACTGCTGGTAAACACATGGTTTAGGGAGGATATTATTAGGCAACCCCGCACACATTGCCTCTAGTGCACCTGGAAGAGCCAGTGCCTTCCTGGGATTTTGCTCTGTGCTCATCAGCACCTAGTGAAATCCCCGAGATAAG